TGAGTTTTAAGCCACCGGGTCCGGGACGCGAACCGCGGTCGACTACGTGGGAGTCCAGTGACAACCATTATGCTAACTGCTGACCCCAAATAAAATAACTCTTTAAAAAAATGAAATCATGGGCCAACAGGTGACATGGTGGTTAAGGTGTTGTACTTCCACATGGCAGACCATGGTTCAAGTCCTGGACTTGGCAGCTTGCTTTCTCTTCCCTCTCTCTGTCCAAATTAAAAAGTAATAATAAAAAGTAAAATTAAATAATTTTTAAAAATGAAATCATTACAGGAAAATAAAAGACAATCATGTTGTAATCAAAGTAAATGTGTAAAAAGAAACTAACATCTGCAGACATTTAACTCAAACCACTTGCTCAATATTTAATATATTTGTAGTTCATACCTGTTTTTCCCCCAATATGGTCCTAAGTTAAAATGGCTGTGGGTGATATTTTAAAGTAATTTATTTGTAGATCTTACATTCAAACCAGAAAATACCGTGGTCCTGGGCCAGCAAGTGGCATGGTGATTGGGATGCTGGATTCTCACATGCCCAACTGTGGTTGTAGACCTGGACCCAATGACTTGAAAATCAGAACAAATACATAGATAAATAAATTATTATTATTATTTTTTAAATACTGTTGTCCCTTGGTGTATCAGGGGATTGGTTATAAGATATCCCTACCTCTATGTGGATACCAAAATCCATGGATGCGCAAGTTCCTTATTATAAAGTGGTATATTCTGTAGAAAGTTCCTTGTGGAGTGATTCATGTATGGTGATGATCAACCACATATAACTAAATAGCTTTGAAGAATCCAGGACTTTTGGGAACCAGCAGTTACCGTAATGGCTGTGTTGCTGGACTCCCACATAGTCGACCGTGGTTCGCGTCCTGGATCTGGTGGCTTAAATTTCACGCCCTGTGCGTGCGTGCTCAAGATCCCGAGAGGAGAATGGAGGAGAAGGGATTGCGGCGTGACCATCCCCTCTGGGGGGTGATTTCTCGCTTTCTGTCTCTACGTCTCTCTCTGTCTGTCTGGCGAGCGCACGCGCCCTATAGCGAAAACCTCTCCAATAAAATAAAAATAAAAAGAATCCAGGACTTTTTAAAAATGTTGTGTTTAACAGGACTGGCCCCTAGCGCAGTAGTTAAGCACTGTGTGTAGAGAGCTGGGTTCCACATAGCTGACTGTGGTTCAGTTCTCATCCCTGACAAATTGAAAAAGATCCTGGGCCCAGGATCATATACACACGTGTACAGGATCCTGCCAAGAAGGAGGAATGGTGAAAAGGGAATTGCACGTGACCAGCCGCATGGGGGTGGAGGCTCTGTCTCCCTCTTTTGCTCTCTGTGTGGGTAAGGGTTAGGGTTTAGGATTAGTGTGCTCTTGTCCTCTGTGTTCTTGTCCTCTGGCATTAAAAAATAAAAAATAAAAATAAATCGAGGACCAGTAGATGGCATAATTGTTACATCACTGGACTCCCACATAATTGTCCACAGTTCAAGTTCTGGACCCAGCGGCTTAAAACTCACATTGGGTGCCTGCACATGCGTGCCCCAAATCCCCAGACGAGACTAGAAGAGAAGAGACTGTGGCGTGGCCATCCTCCCTGCGTGGTGATTTCTTACTTTCTCTCTCTCTGTCTCCCTAGTGAGTACATGTGCCCTATAGCAAAAATCTCTCTTAAAAAAATAAAAATTGTTGGGGGACCTAGTAATTGGTGTAATGACTATGTCGCTGGACTCTCATGTAATCGACTGCAGTTCGAGTCCTGGACCTGGTGGCTTAAACTCATGCCGGGCACGTGTGCATACGTGCCCAAGATCCCAAGAGAGGAGAATGGAGGAGAAGAGATTGTGGCGTGGCCATCCCCAGGCTGGGGGGTGATTTCTCGCTTCCTGTCTCTGTCTTTCCAGCGAGCAAATGCACCCTATAGCAAAAACCTCTCCCCCCAAAAAATATAATTGTGAGAGGACCAGCAGATGGCGTCGTGGTTGAGGCACTGGATACTCCCACATGGCTTACCACAGTTCAAGTCCCAGATGTGGTGACTTGCTTTCACTTTCTCTCTGTCTCTCCGATCAAATTAAAATAAATAGCTGAATGAATAAAATAAAATAAATAATTACTTATATGATTTTCAAGGTCTGGGACTTGAACTGCAGTTTGCCATGTAGGAATCCAGCTATTTTAACACCCTCACCACCTACTTGCCCCACCACCATTCTTTTTTCTACTTTGCCATGCATCTATACCTCCTGGGTACTGCTTTGACTACTTTAGATATTTAGGTGGATCGTACAGGATTTTTCCTTTTGAGATTGACTTATTCCACCTAGCATAATTTCCTCAAGGACTATTCTCATTATAGCACATGAAGGATTTTCTTTAAGGCTAAATAATAATCTCTTGTCTGTGTCTGTGTGTATGAGAAACAGAGAAAGAAAGAATTTGTTTCTCCATCTGTTGATGAACATTTAAGTTACTTCCATCCCTTTTCTATTCGAATAGTGTTAAAGTAAATACAAGTCTTACTGTTTTGTTTTGTTTTGTTTTGTTTTGTTTCTTTGGAGAGGTTTTTGCTATGGGCATGTTTGCTCACCAGAAAAGAGAGAGAGAGACAGAAAGTGAGAAAGCATCCCCCGGGGTGATGGCCACACCACAATCCCTTCTCCTTTGTTCTCCTCTCGGGATCTTGGGCACACGTGCACAAGTGTCTGGTGTGAGTTTAAGCCATGTGGTCCAGGACTTGAAACACCGTTGACTATGTGGAAGTCTAGTGACAGGATCATTATACCAACTATTCCCGTCTTATTGTTTTTAACTTGAAAAAATTACTTGAGGATCAGCCTGTCCTGGTAGTTACATGAGCTGGATCCCACATGGCTAACTGCAGATCAGGCAGCTTGAGAAATGCATGTACCTATGTGTTCAAAATCCCAGAAGGAAGTAGAAATGGAGGAGAAGGGAATGTGGTATAGCCATTCCCCATGAGGCGTGCTTTCTCAATTTACCTGTCTTTCTCTCTGTGTCTCTCTTTGGTAAATGCCCACACCCTCTGGCAAGTTAAAACAAAACAAAGCAAAACAAAACAAAAAAACTTTATATTGTAATATTCAGTTTGTAGTATCTTTAAGTTAGGTACCACATGCTCTGCCTCCATTGGGAGAAAAGTCACTTCATAAATAATTATATAGTCCAATCTTGTTTATCTTAATACATTCTTATCTCCTAATGCTGTACATGTTTCAGAAGTCTGTATAGTGGTTTTAATTAGAAAAAAGAAATGCAATAAATCTGGGCCAGCTAGTATTGTGGTTAAGGCAGCTGGATCCTACATGGCTGATTGCATGGTTTAAGTCCTGGACTTGCCCTGAAGAACATACAGAACACTTATCCATGCATACCTAGAATCCCAATAGACGAATAGAGGGGAAGGATTGTTGTGTGATCATGCTTCTTGGTGGGGGAGGGGTGCTTTTTCGCCTACTTGCTTTCTATGTCTCTCATCAAGTCCATGCATCCTCTAGTTAAGATTTTTAGTGAAATTAAATAGGTCATAAACTCTACTAAAGAAAAGTTCTAGGCCCAGTAAATGGCATGGCTATTATGGCTGGTGGATCCTACGTGGCCAACTGTGGTTTGAGCCCTGGACTCAGTGTCTTGATAAATACGCTGAGCACATGCGTATGCGTACTTAAAATCCTGAGAGGTGAATGGAGAAAAAATTGCAATGTGGCCATCCCCCTTAGCAGGTGCTTTCTCACTTCCCTACCCTCTGTCTCTCTCAAGCAAACTCTTGTTCCCTAGAATAAATTTAAAAAAGAAAGAAGTTAGCCCATGGCATGGTGGTTAACGTGGCTGAGGCAGCTGGATTCTCCATGGCTGACTATGCAGTTTGAATCCCAGACCCGGCCACCTGATAAACACTCTGTGCGTATGCATGTGTGTCCAAAATCTGGGAAAGCAGATGGAAGAGAAGGGTGTGCATTGTTACCATTCTTACTAGGGAATTATTTTATTACCTTCTCTCCAATAGTACACATGTCTTAAAGTAAACACTTTTAAAAAAGAAGAAGAAAAAAGAAAAGTTCTACTGATGATGCAAACAATTCAGACCAAAAAGTATTACAGTCTTTGCAGTTCTCTAGTTTTTTGTTTGTTTGTTTGTTTTTTGAGAGGTTTTTGCTATAGGGCATGTGCGCTTGTCAGACAGACAGAGACAAAGAGACAGAAAGCGAGAAGTCACCCCCCCCCCCCCGGGGGGTGGCC